GATGATTCCCGGGATGAAACCTCAATTTGGACGGTGGATAGTATCCATTGAGAGGAGCTACGAGCTTAATGCCCCAGATAAAAAAGTCTAGATCGAGCTGACTTTATATGGGTTTAAGGGAGACATACTTGGAGGCGCGTGGATAACCACCAAAGCCCACGGAAGACGCACTAGTTGCCATTGAAAGGAACTACGAGCTTAATGCCCCAGATAAGATAGCCTAGATCGAGGTGACTTTATATGGGTTTAGAGGAGGCTTACTCGGAGGCGTGTGGATAACCACGAAAGGGTCCAAAAAGATCAAGTCCCCATCTGGCTAACGACCATGGCCCTACCACGCTTTGCAACTTGGAGCTAGGTAGATGGTGCTTAGTGGCATGCACTTGGCATGCATGGAACTTCTTAACTATGTCTGTCGCGTCTTTCATGATCGTTGGCCAGTAATAGCCTTATAAAAGGATCGTCCTCTCGAGCAAATTGGTATCAGTGTTTGTGCGCAAGTCCCGCTGTATATCGCTCACAGCGTTCACTGCGCCTCCTCTGGTCCCATGCATTTTAGGTACACCCCGGAGAACGACCTCTTGCATAACTGTCCATCCACCATCGCGTATTGAGCTACTTTTCGCTTGAGTTCCTTCCTTTCAACTGGGTGTTGGGAGTGATGTCATGTTCCAGATACTGAACCAAGGGCATCCTCTAGTCTATGGATTCTCCGATATCCATGAATTCATCGTGAAGGTCGCTCTCATTTGTGACGGTAACGTGTCGGACTCCTTCGAAATCTATGGGCAGTAGCCAGCTGGGAGAGCGCATCTGCATGCTGGTTGTCATCCCTTCGAGAGTGTTTGAGCTTCCAAGTGTTCGGCTGTGCTAGGGCGCTTCTGACTTTGTTGGCTAGCATGGCCAGAGTTTCATCCTTGATTTCGAATGCCTCGTGCACTTGTTTCACTACTAGGAGTGAATACGAGAAGATATGCACGTCGGACGCAACCCAAACTGGAGAGTATCCTAATCCCATTGATGAGAGCTTAGTACTCTGCAACATTGTTAGTTTTGATGTCTCTGAATCTTAGCGAGATTTCATGGACGACACCTTTTGGCGATTCTATTACTGTTCCTGCCCCTAAAGTGGCTTTACCTGCGGCTCCGTTGATGAATAGACGCCAAACCTTGTTGTGCTCCTCCAAGGAATCAGTTTCGAGGGAGCATCCTTCGGCAATGAAGTCGACCATGATTTGCCATTTGATGGCTGGCCTTGGGGCGTATTCGATGAGTTCGATTGCCCATTTGGTTAGCCTGCTCGAGGTGTCCATGCCTAGCATAATACTCTTGAGCGGGAGATTGGACAACATAGTGACGAGATGCTCTAGGAAATACAGTCTTAGTTTTTTTTGCTGCGGAGGCCACAACGAGAACCGCCTATCCTATTGGCATGTACCTTGTTTCTGTCGGAAGAAGTGCTTTTCTCACATAGTAGATAGGTTTGTCTGAGCCGTCTTGCACTCTCCTTAGCAGGACTAAGCTTATGACCAGCTCTGAGACTGCCAGGTAGAGGTAGAGACGCTCTCCAGCGACGGGAGAGCTCAAGACTGGTGTAGAGCAAAGTTCGCTTTTTAGCACTGCAAAAGCTTTATTGCACTCGGCGCCCCACTGAAGTCTCGATGCTGATTTTTTGAGCATTTAGAAGAATGGAGAACATTTGTCTGCAGACCGAGGGATGAACCTCCCGAGGGTGGCCATTTTGCCATTGAATGTTTGGATCTCCTTTATCGATCTTGGCAGCTTCAAGCTGAGTATGGCCTCAATTTTCTTTGGGTTGGATTCTATTCCCCTCTTCGTAATCATGAAGGTTAGGAACTTTACCGCTTTATCTCCAAAGACACACTTAAGTGGATTGAGCCTTAGGTTTTTACATCACAAATTTTTGAAAGTCTCCCTCAAGTCGGCTAGGTGGTCGCTAGACCTCTTGCTCTTAACCAGGACATCGTCTATGTATGCTTCTACATTTATCCCCATTTGGTATTTGAAGACCGCATCGACCATCTTTTGGTAGGTTAATCCGAATGGCATGATGATGTAGCAGAAGTTACCCATGGGGGTCATGAATGCGGTTAACTCTTGGTCGCTTTCCGCCAGTCTGATCTGGTTATCTGGAAAACATATCCAAGAAGCTAAGTGCTTCGTGATTTGCGGTCCCGTCGATCAGCTGGTCAATCCGGGGAAGCGGGTATACATCTTTGGGACACGCCGCATTGAGGCTAGTGAACTCAATACACATCCTCCAGGAGCTACCTGCCTTGCATACGAAAACTTGGTTTGAGAGACAAGTGGGGTATTGTACTTCACTGATGAAGCCTACTTTAAGCAGTCACCTGATCTCTTCTTCGAGAACCATTTGCTTTTCTAATGAAAAGTGCCTTCTTCGCTGTTGTATTAGTATCGCTTTGGGCTTAACGGATAACCGATGCTCGGAAATTCTTCGGGGGACGCCAGACATGTCTTCCGGTCCCTAGGCGAAGAGCTCTTGGAACTCTCTAAGGTGCGTGAGCAACTTCTGTGCCTCTTCTTCAGCCAGGTGTGCTAAAATGCATACTGTCCTTTTTGGCCGCTCTTTACTCAAAGCTACTGCTATGTCGCCCTCGACCGCTTCGGGGCGTGGAATGTCTCCTCTCGCGTCGACGAGGTCGACCTAGAGGTTCTCAATGGTTGCTTGGTAGCATTCTTTTGCTTCCTTTAGATTTCCTCGAACGCTTCCCATTTGTCCTCCGCTAGAGAATTTTAGCATCTGGTGGCATGTGGAGGCAACCGCCTCGAAGGTTGCGAGGAAACCGCGTCCAGGATGGAATTGTAAGAGGAGGGGAAGTATGCTACATGGAACTCTACCGGGCGAGTTTTCATGACTCCTCCTTCTCCTATAATGACTTTGAGCGTGATCTACCCGAGAACATGCGCCTTCATTCCCGAGAACCCCCACTAAGCTATTGCTGGAGGGTTGGAGATCTTGGACATTCATCTTTATGCTTTTAAGCGCTGAGTAGAAGAGAATATCCGCAGAGCTTCTGTTGTCTACTAGAGCCCGAGTAACCTTGAACTTCATGATTCTGAAGGAGATGACCAAAGGATCTTCCGTATTTTCTTCCTTGGCCAGCTCAGAGGGCAGGAAGACGACGTCAGTTGGCACCTTCCATTGGACGTTAAGGCAATGTGCTAAGCGGTCTCCCTCTGGTCTTGTGCGCATTCTGCCCCCAACGATTGTTATATTTTCCATTCCGTCTTCGTCGTTGCGCGGTTGTCTATAGGCGGAGAGTGCCTCTAGGGAGAGAGGGCTTTGTTCCGGGATGGGGATCTCGATCTCTCTTTTCTTGCCCTTCTTGCTTTGTCTGATTTTGGGCTTTGTGATCCAACTCGCGTTTTTTGGGAATGGTCTTGATACAGACTTCATGTCTCCAAGCGGTTTCGAGGGTCCTCTAGCGCCATGTATCCGACACTGGCTTTGAACTCCCTACACACTACGGTGTCATGGGTAGTGATTTGGTGCCAGTCACACCGCTTCTTTCCATCTTGTTGCTCCTGCCCGGGGGGCGCCTCATATTTCTTTCTGCCTCTTATTCTCTCTCTTCCTCGTTCTCGATCAGTGGAAAATACGTCCCTTTTGTTGTAATACTCTGTGTATCTATTTCGATACGCCTTTCACTCTGGGGAGCGTCTTCCATGTCGAGCGTCCCCACGTTATGGATCATTGACCCGAGGACACCCTTGTCGTCCCCTATCATCGGCGACCAAGGCCTCCTCTAGCAGTATCGCTCTTCGCACCAACTAGTCCAGCTTTGACCATGACAATAGTGTGGATTCCTTTTTTATCAGAGTTCTTTTGAGCTCGATGGTGCTTGTGGACATCCTGAGGTTACCTGCGACTACTACCGTAGATATGTCTTGTATCTCACATGCGATCGCGTTCCACCGGTCGTAAAATTTCGTAAACGGTTCTTCTTTCCTCTGTCTGCAATTTATGAGAGCCGAGAACAACATTGCGAATTGCTCAAAATTCTCGATTATCCCTTCCGGAGGGAGGTGTACCACGTCTGGCATTGGCCGCTGAACGTGATCGGGAACGCACGACACAGATCTGAGTCTAACGTGTTGATGAGCTATATCTTTAGAATGAACGCGCAAAGATGATCCGTGGGATCTGTAGTCCCGCTGTACTTGGGTAGCCCCAAGGATGAGAAATTGGGGGGAACCAGGATTTTGAACAGTTCCTTCGACAGTGAGTTTTGAAGGACGTTCGGACTCTTATACTTTCCGTAGGTCGACTGCAGATGTTCTTCGAGAAAACTAAGATCTGCTTCTTCTACCTCCAGTACCTTACCTTCAGTCTGAGTAGGGCTGTCAAGGACGTGGACGGTTTTCTGCTTTTCTTCTCGCGCTCTTCCCCTTGAACCCTCGTCGGGGTCTTCCTTTGCCTTTAGGAGCTGGAGGATATGACAAGGCTATCTTGCATGCTCACGATTTGTTGGCCTTGACTTTTGACCACCTCCTCTAGCCCTGTTTCGTCTTCAATTCTTGGTAATAGATCCCGGAGGGTGTTGTTCTCGGTCATCCCTTTGAGCGTGGTCTCAAACTCGTCCCCCATCTTTCCGTAACGAAGTCGCGAGGCCCCACGATGCGCGCCAAAACGTTTGAGCCTGATTAGTACTAGGCGGTTTGTGAGACTTCACTGACTACAAACGGTCCTCGATCGTTTGGGGGCGGTCTCGAGAACCGTGCAGAAAAGGTCCTCAGGTGGATCTTGGTACCTCCTACGATTCCAAATTTAGTGAGAGAAGTGAAAATGTAGTAAATAAGAGAGAGAGAGTGGTCGATCCGAGTCATCATAAATGTTGTCCTTCGGGGGTATTTATACTAACTCTGGTTGAGGCTTGAGCATTTAGTGGCTTGTCGGGCGTTCTGGGACGTCTTTGGACTAATTAAATGCCTCATTAGTAAGAATCCCTGACATTCTTCGTAGGAAGGGGTCAGAAGGTCGTTGGTCCTTTATGTCGGACGGTCTCGTGAGACTGACCGCGTCCCAATATTGGGAGGTCATCTGGTGTCGAGAACAAAGACCGCCTCGGGGTCATTGTGCCTGCTTGGTTGCACGAAGCCAGTAAAGTCGAGTTAGTTTGGACCATTTTACCCTCTTGTGGACCTTTCTTGCAGGACTTGGAAGACCGCCTCTCATCTACCGAGAACCGCACGAAGCCAATAAAGTCTCACAAAACTGCCTGTATAGAAATATGTAATATGCATACATGACATGAGTAAACATTTGTACTTAGCAAGTCATCATTGAGGATAAAAGTAAGATGAACATTTGTGCTTTTAAATCCATTTGATAACATGCGTAGTTGGTCATTATGCTTAGTACTTAGTAGCACCAAACATAAGTTATCTTATTGACTAGTAAATGAATCTTACCAAATCCTAGGTGTCAAATGAGAAGAAGCGGATGGATTTAAAGTGAAGCGGACGGTTTTCCAGTGTATGCATTACTGTCTCATCTCGTCTGGTCTGGTACCTCCCTCCGTGCGGTCTGGTAGCGGTACTTGCTCTGTTCAAGGAATGTTGTGTAGTAGTGGTAGGTGCAGAGAGTAGAGATAGGATGCCGCTGCCGGGTTCCTGCTTCCCACATGGATGGGACCTGGGTGCCTTCATTTTCTTATCCGGAGGTGGAGCGATTCTAACCATATGAAATATAAACGTGGCTGTTGGAGAAGCCATTGCCAGCAATGGTTTGGTGGTCCTCCAGCGAGCGGCAGAGAGCATTAATTTGTGGCCCCCGTCCCGTCCTGTGCAGCCAGCGATCAAAAAGGTTTACCTCTTTTGGCCTGCTTCGTTAATTCATTCAATCCACCCCGTCCCGTGGTAAAGTAGCGTTGTCCTCTGTGCTTCGTTAATTCATTCATTCAATCATCGGATGAATTCTTTGTTTGAGATGGAATGGAAGGCTGTCCTGTCGGCGGTGGGGACCCCATGAGCCTGACTTGTTGCACCTGACCCCAAGCGTCCCTCCTCCTCCTCCACTCCTATTTTCGGTGTCGTGGCTTCAATGCCAAACATAATTCGGACAGCCTTATCTTCCTCTGTTTCACCCTCTGCGCCTGCGCCTGCGCCCTCCTAATGGAGAAATCTTCGGCGAGCAGCAGCAGCAGCAGATGGATGGCGTTCGAGGAAAAGCAGAGTTCCGCTCCCGGCGGGGTGGCCGCCAGCATAGCTGAGAGGACGGCGGAGTGGGGCCTGCAGGTGGTGAGGTCCGACGCCGGAGAAGGCAGTTTCAAGGCGGTGAGGCGCTCATCCGGCGAGCAGGGCGGCTTTATGTCGACGAGGACGTCGGAGGAATCGGACGTCGGGGCGGCGCTTCCCAGGGTGTCGCAGGAGCTCAAGGATGCTCTCGCCACTCTGCAGCAGACCTTTGTGGTCTCCGACGCCACCAAACCCGACTGCCCCATACTCTACGCCAGCAGCGGCTTCTTCACCATGACTGGCTACTCCTCCAAGGAAGTCGTCGGCCGTAATTGGCAAGTCCTCTTTCTCCTAACCCCATCCCCATCTTCGCTTCTCCCTTTTCTTTTCTTTTTAATTCACCAACCAAATAAGACTACTTTTTTTTTCTTTCTTCCATCCATGTCAATGAGCTGAAGATCAAGTTTAAAAGGAATTTTTTTCACTTAATTTATTCAACAAAAAAAAAAAAGAAATAATTAAAATAAAAAAGTTGGCCCATAGCGGCGGGTAAAATCGTTATTTCGAATCTGCAGGCAGTGAGGAGATTGATAAGATTTATGTAGAGTCTTTTGTGCAAGGTTATCAAACCGGTTTAAGTCATTGAGCCGGTCAAGTAAGGGGTTTGAGGTTTAATGGTCTGATTGGAGTCCGGCCGATTTGAGCCGTTTTAGACGTTTTTTAAATATATATATAAATAAAGTAGTAATTAAAAATTTAATGAGTGAAATAAAATTTATCTTACATATATCTATTAAAAACTTATTTTCAACAAAATAAATCTACCTAACCTCCATGATCCACCTACCATTTCCCTTCCTTCGTTCCTTTTCCTCTCTTCCGCCTCTCTTCTTCTCCCTGTTTAGGGGTCAGACCGGGGGGTTTTCTGGAGGCCGTTTTGAAGCCCGACTCGGGTCGAACTGGGTCCAACCGGGGGGTTCGATAGGGGTTTAACAACCTTGCTTTTGTGTGTTTGCTTTCTTCTGATTGGATAAAATAAAAGAAAGGAGATTCACTTTATTAATTTATATATGGTGTTGCCGTTAGGCCGGGAAAGTAGGGATGACGAAGAATGGACAATTGACTGATTGCGTGATTGGTGTCTTTATCTTATTTTAATTATTATTATTTTATACTCTCTCTCTATATGTTTGTTAGCAATTTAGGGGTCGTTTGGAGGTTGAGATTTGAAGTGAGGTATTTAGCAAATACATGTAATGATAAGATTAAGTCGTTTTTTTGGTTCATTTTGAGTTAGAATGCATGCATTACCTTTTTGTTGGGCCCACCTACAATCACTCAAAATGAATGATTATAAGGGGTCGTTTGAAAATTGTGATTCTTCAAATTGATGTATTAGGTCAATTAGTGTATTATCATTTGATGTATTGATTCAATGCATGTATTAGGAAAATACTTTGTTTGGAAGAGCAATGATAAAACAAAAAGTAGGGTAGACAATCCCTCATTAACAATCTCACCTTTTAGTAGAGATTTGTAATCATTCATTTTGAGTGATTGTAGGTGGGCCCAACAAAAAGGTAATGCATGCATTCTAACTCAAAGTGAACCAAAAAAACGACTTAATCTTATCATTACATGTATTTGCTAAATACCTCACTTCAAATCTCAACCTCCAAACGACCCCTAAATCTCTACTAAAAGGTGAGATTGTTAATGAGGGATTGTCTACCCTACTTTTTGTTTCATCATTGCTCTTCCAAACAAAGTATTTTCCTAATACATGCATTGAATCAATACATCAAATGATAATACACTAATTGACCTAATACATCAATTTGAAGAATCACAATTTCCAAACCACCCCTTGATTTTATTAGTTACTGACTGAGTCTGAATTCGGGCGGGGCGGCAGCCGATTCCTGCAAGGGCCGGACACAGACGAGAAGGAAGTAGGCAAGATTCGAGACGCGGTGAAGAATGGGAGCAGCTACAGCGGCAGGCTTCTCAACTACAAGAAGGATGGCACTCCTTTCTGGAATCTCCTCACTGTTACTCCCATCAAAGATGACCTCGGCAACACCATCAAATTCATTGGGTACGAGCGAGTGATTCCTTTCGCTAGCTGCTCTTTTTTCTTTTTGCTTTTTGTGCTGAATTTCGCGCTGCCGCAGGATGCAGGTGGAGGTCAGCAAGTACACAGAAGGCATCGTCGACAAGGCCTTGCGCCCCAATGGCTTGCCCAAATCTCTCATTCGTTACGACGGTACTCTTTACTTGCTTGCCTTCAGATCAGAGTTCGTGCACCACTTTCTTCTTTGGGTTTGGCTGATTTAGGTCAGCACTTGCTTTCAAATGTCTGTTCAACTTCCTGCCCCACCTTTTCTCATTTTCAGCTCGTCAGAAGGAAAAGGCTCTGGATTCAATCACTGAAGTTGTGCAAACGGTCAAGCATCCCAAGTCCCATAGACGGGCAACGAGTCACGACATTGCCAACAATCTTGATTTGGTCCTGCCCGAATCTGCTGAAGTTATGTCCATGCCTACGCCTGGTGGAGAAACTCCTCGTTCCGACTCTGGAGCCGGGGCTTTTGGCATTGGTAGTCCTCATGTTTATGCTCACAAACAGAGAAGTTCTCTGAGGATCTCCTTAATGGGGTCAGTTCATCTTTGCCCTGTCCCTTTTTGCTCTTTCAGATTACCTTTCATGTATTGCGGTATGGACTGGAAAGCTGTCAGCTACCTGTAACAACCTAGTTACCAAGATTTTGAGAGTTAGGCTGAGCAATTTTTTAGTAGAAAGAAATGTTACTAGCATCTTGGAAAGACCATAGACATTTGGTAGGTGTACTCTTTCTCTGAGTTTCAACCATTTTTACTATGTCTAATACTGATGTGTTGTATCCTCCAGCCGGTTTAAAGGTCCTTCTATTAGTTCTTCGAGGAAGTATGAAGAGCCACCTGTTATTGAACCGGAGATTTTGATGACCAAGGAAGTCAGTCGTACTAACAGTTGGGAACATGCTGAACGAGAAAGGGACATGCGCCAAGGTTTTGATTTGGCAACCACATTAGAGCGGATTGAGAAGAATTTTGTGATCACAGATCCAAGACTTCCTGATAACCCTATTGTAAGTTCACTTTTAGCTACCAATAAACCTTTCCAATTCATTGCCACTTCGCCCTTCATATTTAGGTGGGTGCATAAAGATAACTTTAATTTTACCCAAATAAAGTTTACACCATAAATTAGAGGCCTCACTAAGTTCAAGAGCTCTCTACTTGTGTCAAAACAAAGTTTTTTGGAAAGACACAGAGAAGTGATGTGCTAAGGGTCACTGTGTAACATCTTAAGCTACTTGAACTTAGAAGAAACAAAACAAATGAGAGTTTGATAGTATTGAATGGAGGAATAACCACCTACACCAGTTGGATAAGTCTTATCAGTATGGTGCCTTAAAAACACGAGAGCGACTCATGCAACAACTCTGATGTCTGAAAACCAAATGATTAGCACTCATACAAGCATACGAAATGAATTGCTATACTGGTATGAAACTGAATATGAAGTCATATTCCTACTAGCAAACAACAAAAATCTTACTTAGGAAATATAAACAAACACTTAATTTCTAAAGGAATTTCCACACCAACAAGGGACAGGATTAGTCCAGTTCCCTTAAGCTGGACAGCTCCTTTGTGGTGATTTAACAAAAATAACAAGTTGCTGGAATGTTATTGCTCTAGTAAGTGAGCCTTCTGTCACATACCCAGGACAATATTGCACTTAATGTTGTCTTCTGTATTTCTTATACCTTCTTGCTCCTCTGGATTCCCATCAACTGGAGAAACGCAGGTAGCTGTTCTAGCATGGAGATAAAATATTCAGATGTAAATGTCGTCTATCTTTGGATTTCATCCAAGAACAACCAAGTTGTGCTTGTCAGGCTTCAGTTCAGTCTGATGTGAATAAATCATTATATTCTTTTAGCAATATTAAAATAGAGCTATGTATTTTGATAATGCTATAAATTTCTTGGAGTTTCCATGAATATCTTAATGTTACTGGCTCAATGTATTTTCTTCCTTTACCAGATTTGTATACTGCTTGATATGAGAATTTAGTCCATTCTCAATATAGTAATTAAATGCCATTGGTTTGCTCCTTGCAGATATTTGCTTCTGATAGCTTTCTTGAACTAACTGAATTTACACGCGAAGAAATTTTGGGAAGGAATTGTAGGTAATGAATATATAAAGTACATGTCTTCAATTCTTTCCCCTTTTGGTTAGCCTTGTTTCTCATAGAATGATAGCTTCAGGCCATTCATTTCTGCTTGCTATATGATGAATTGACAGGTTTCTACAAGGACCCGAAACAGATCAAGCGACCGTGTCAAAGATAAGAGATGCAATAAAAGAACAGAGGGAAATCACGGTTCAGTTGATCAACTACACTAAAAGTGGTAAGTATGTTTGGACCTATTGGTGAGCCGAAGCAACTACTGAAACTAGATTTGTTTGCTTCTTTCATTGGACTCAATTTTGAGGTTCAAATTTTAGCTATGCCTTCTCTATCTGACAAAGATTATCTTTATTTGAAGGAAAGAAATTCTGGAACTTGTTTCACTTGCAACCAATGCGCGACCAAAAGGTTCCTAAATGGTCACTGTTGTAGACATTTCTTTTGTTTCATAAGTTGATTCTGTTGCATAAAAGCCTTTGTTATTGATTTTAGGGGGAGCTGCAATACTTCATTGGTGTTCAGCTCGATGGAAGTGATCATGTGGAACCCTTAAGAAACCGTCTTTCAGAGAATGCTGAGCTGCAGAGTGCGAAGTTGGTATGAAGTTTTGTCAGTTTTGTAAAACAGGCCTATGGGTTTTGGTCTTCTACTTAGTGATTGTATGCCATTTCACGCATAATACTTTGCCATGTAGCTGAGAATAAGCTGGATTTCAGGTTGCTCATGCTTAGAGGAAAAATCCAAAAGCTTGTCTGGCTGAAGAATAACTCTTAGTCTACATTTATTCTTGAGATTCATTCATCTATTGCACTTGAGTGACACCTAGTTCTGGTTCAAGACCTAATGCCTACTTGGAATTGCAGTCTTTAAAATACTATGTGTTCTTTTCCAGGTCAAAGCTACTGCTGAAAATGTTGACGAGGCCGTTCGAGAACTTCCGGATGCCAATTTGGTAAGGTACTCTTTCCTCTCTGTGCGTGGTTTATAGCTAGTACATCTTGTCTTTATCACATAATTAGCAATCCTGTCATTCAAAAGATACTCTCATCTCTCAATTCTTGATGATGCACCAAGAAGGGACGCTTTGGCCATAACAGGATGTGCTTTTTTTATCAAGTATTATGTGGCTTTATAAGCCAGTTAAAGGGGTTAATATGCTTTCTCTAAGTAGTGAACATGAAAGTGATGACTAACATATCCTTATTTATGCCAGTCAACCAGGAAATATTAAAATTTTCTATTTCCTAAGTGGAAACTTTAAAATTCCCCCCCCCCCCCTTCATTTTCACACCCTTGTTTCCACAATTCTCGAAGTTCCCAAATTATGATGCTGAATGGATTGTGGTAACAAAGAGGAATAACAAATAGAAACAAATATGTGATTTTCCTTTGCAAAAAAAAAAAAAAAAAATACCGAACATGAAAGTGTTGACGAACGTATCCTTATTTATGGCAGTCAACCAGGAAATATCTTATCTCAAATGTCTTTCTTATATTTTGCATTCCTGCATTTTTATGCTTGATTTAGCTCTATGGCATGGCATATAAGAGGCGGCTCCTTTTCTTACTCTGTAGAATCCAAGCTCACGGAATTTTATTTTATACCATTCTCCAGAGACCAGAAGATTTGTGGGCGATTCATTCGAAGCCTGTATTTCCACGGCCTCACAAAAGGGATAGTTCTTCATGGAGAGCAATACAGAAGGTATTCTTCATTAACATTTGATACTATAAGCATAAATGATAATGCCATTTATTCTGCTCCAAAGGACTTGTGAAACCCTCTTAACAATGACTATGGTTCATATTTACATGCTTTCCATAGGAAACACATCTTTCGCGAGACATTTTTGAGATGTTCTATGTGGATTGTTGTTGTTGTCTTTATTATTTAATGATACTTAATTCTTTTAAACTTCACCGATTCATTGTCAGGTTTGCTGTCTCTCTTTCTATGACGAGGAAATTCTCTGCAACTCTTTATCCTAATCTTTTTGTCATGCTGTTGTTGATCCCTAGGTCCACTGTCCACCTTTAAAATGTTTAGTATCCTGTGGTGGAGACGCTATTATCGGTCAGTTTTGATGCAAATATCTAAACAGAGAATTCTTTGATGGAGTTGAAGCTGGAAAATTGCTGCACATTTTCTTAGACAAAAAAAAAAAAAAAAAAAACAAACAAAAAAAGTGAAGATAAGGGTTCTAGTGGAGTCATTAAGACAGTTGGTACCTTTATCACCAAAGCTCCAGGCAGATACTTTCGGAATATATCTGAGTTTTTTCCTTGTTGCCTGTTGTTTTGACTTCCTATTATTGGTGTTAGAGAAAATGGATTGTGGCAGTTTGCTACATGCGTTTTTCATGGATGCTGTTGTTCTCATATAAAGGCTTTCTGAAATATTTGGTGCTGCAGTTTGTAGTGTATGTTATCTTAATCTAATTTTCCCCTTGTTTTGTGGATGTATCACCTGTTAATGCCTCTCGTTTAGATGCTGAGTTTGAACTATTTGGTTTGCTCAGATTACCTCTCGTGGTGAAAAGATTGGGCTGCATCATTTCAAGCCCATTAAACCTTTGGGTTGTGGTGATACTGGCAGGTAATGTCAGATACTTATGCTAAATTACCAAACTTAGTAAAACTGCACAAGTACACTAATTCGATTGTTTTGATTTGGAGCTCTTAGGGAAATTTTGTTCCTATTTACATATTAAGTGGGAATGGAGGTAGGTGCCTTTCGTTTTTATATTTTCCCCGTCAATAACGGACAACAGTACATAGTGAGCTACACAATAGAAGGGAACTCCCCTTGGCTGTCCAACCCCCAACTAATCTGAACCGTCCTTTTCTCACTCCTTTAAGATATAGAAGATGCCAAGACTTTGACTTTGTTGTCAAGACTTTAAGATGAAACAGGGATAGAGGGTGGCAGAAATGGATATGGTGGTTATTTGCAAATAGAGTTAAATTTTTTTTTTTCCAATTTAAGGCATCGCTAAGATGGTGAAGTGAAAACATTAAAGGATGGTTAAGGCATTAGATAGGGAGAATGGGACAGGTTCTTCTTGGCTTGCATATGGAAAGAAATACTGATTAGAGAAGTGCCACACCTATGGATGGCTGAGCCTGAGGCACTGGATAAGGAGATTGTGAGGGGTACCAGCACACATATGGAATTTTGTACTTATTAGTTACTAATCCATACTCAAGGCTGTGAATGCTTTGCATGTTTGTCCCTTGAATGAATTTTGCTAAGTCGTATCGAGAGTTTGTAGATACTGGCCTATTTTTGTGCTTTCCCCTTTCCTAAAGATTCATATTTGCTTTTCAGTGTTCATTTAGTGGAGCTGGAAGAAACAGGTGAACTTTACGCTATGAAGGCAATGGAAAAATCCATGATGATGAACCGTAACAAGGTTTGTTTCTTACTAGTTCTTCATATGTTCAGGATTTACTTCATTTGATATGAGATTAACATTTTCTGTGCCTGGTTGACCTATCACCCTGATAAATGCGTGCATGAAACTTCCTTCAGTTTCCTTCTATACATTCTTCTGGTTTCCTAGCTTTGCTTTGGCAGAAAATTAACTTCTTTGGAGCAATTAGCAACCATGTCTGCCGAGAATGAGGATCATTCTCTATAAACATTAATGGATAAATAGTTTACCCTTGAGGTTCAAATATGAAATGTTCATAGATATAGTAAACCATGTAAAGTGCAAGAGATACAAGTGTGAGGGGAATACCCCTTATAGATCAACGACCATTGGATGTAAATTTCTCTCTCTCCCCTAGCCTTAGTAATTTAACAAACCCAAGGATATGGGGTGGATTCAGGTGCCAGGTATATGACATTATTAGGTTTTCCTTATGGATGCTACTAAGTCAATTAAGATTGTCAAGACTGCAGTCAGAATATTGGCTGCAACGTTTTCCCCTTGATTTCCCCTTACAAGGGTCAGGAAAGTATGCAATACATATTTCAAAGTTAACGAATTAGACAATGAAGTTTTTTTCAAAGTTTTGATAATTGCTCATATGGATATGGTCTGGTGTCACCCTTAAATCACATTTACGACCTACTGGTAGCAGGTTAACTAATGACCCTACTGTCTAATTCTTATGCAGGTTCACCGAGCATGCATTGAGAGAGAAATCATTTCACTTCTGGATCATCCTTTTCTTCCAACACTATATACCTCCTTCGAGGTATTCTTTATCTACATTACCTATATTTATAGGGCTTATCAGTTTATTTGAATGTATTCACCTGTCATTTAGTCTTCAACTGCAAATAAAAGGGTACTTTAAAAAAAAAAAATGTAAATATGGTTTTACTTACCCCATCGAATTATTGATAATTGGTATCTCTCATATCCTTCTTTCTTCAGTTGCTCTCTTTTATGAGAACAATATACAATGTTGGACATATTACGCAATTTGATCATATTTTGGCCTAATCTAATCATATTCTAAGTGATTTAATAGATATACTAGAGCTAGATGAGCTTAGAGAATCATATTCTATTTTTTAAAGTGTTGTAATGAGGTACTTGTAAGAGGACGAGTACTTGAGCTTTGCAGTTTTATGCAAGATAACCCTTGAATGAATCATGACCATATCTGTGTCATCTTATCTTTTAGCTACTAAAATTTGAATTGAAAAGATAACTCTAACAATACATTCTATGTTTAAATTTGGACTTTAAAAAGCAAGAACAACATTTATCATGGGTGCCACATAATTTTTTTATGGTAGAAGAAGCCAAAAGCCACCTAGTAATTAATTCAGTTTGTTCTCTAATTTCCCTGTTCATTATGAGAAATTATTGACGAAATTCTGCTTATTATAGCGATATCACAAAGACATACCTTCCATTCCATCAACTATTTTCTTATACTAAACAAATCTCTTACCTCGACTCTACGCGTTATAAACCCTTACCAAAAACTGGACTATTTTTCCTACTACTAAAACATAAATGAGATAAACAGACCCTAATTCCTGCTATTTGGGGCATTCATACTCATGTGCTTGCTTGCAATGTATTTCTGCTAAGGCTATAGACGCTAGCACCAAAGAAATAAAGTTTCTCCATTTTTTTGGTCTTAGTGACTGCTGTTTACCCCTCTTATTAAAGATTCTGATGTTTCTTTATCTTGGCAGACTTCAACGCATGTATGTCTAATAACAGACTTTTGTCCTGGTGGAGAGCTATTTGCAGTACTTGACAAGCAACCTATGAAATTGTTTAAGGAGGAATCTGCAAGGTAACTGTATTTGAAATATACACCCTTTGTAGTGCCCGATACTTTTAACTGTGCTTCTTACCTCTTCCTTACAGTTGAATTCTTTTTAGGCATTGCCATAATGTTCTTTCAAACTCAGGTTCCCATGCGTGCATTTAATGGCTCTGTGTTAGACAGCCTCTCCTGAATGCTAACTGCGGGATATTCTGTAGTTTCCATTTAAATCAATTTGGAAATCACAAACGACTAGGGAGCTGCAGCGTCAAATCTATCAGAATTTTCTTCATTGAGAGAAGTTATGAATTGTGAAATTGACCTTTCTAGAGAAGTTGAGATCCAGGCAGGATATGTTTTGCAAAAAAATTGGGACATGATTTTCTTTCTTATCTCTTGAGCTTTACTACTTAATTCAACAAGCGGAGAATGCAGGGTTAGTTGCTTTACGACTTGTGATCTTATTCGGGCCTTCTGCACCAATCTCTCTTATGTTATCTGCCTTACCGTGGAACTTTATTTTTGTGTTAATTTTATTTTCTTGTTTGTGATAAATGTGTGCTTCCAGATTCTATGCAGCAGAGGTTGTTATTGGCTTGGAGTATCTTCACTGTCTAGGTACCTTACATAATTTGCTTTCCCTTATATGTTCGTCAACTTGGTTGCTTCTATTTTTATAGTATTTTGGACACCTTAGTATATTGATTTCTTTGGATTGCCAGTGAAAATAGGAAATTATTATACTGTTGTCATACATTAACGAGTGAAAATGTTTTTTGGTCAACTTGAACTGCATCTAATATGCTAATTTTATGCAATATCTTTTCCTGTGGAAATCATACTATAAATTTTAATGGTGTTTCTGAATGAATGACATCAGGTTTAGTGCTCTCTCTCTCTCGCTCTATCTCTAAATTTCTCTGTACTTAACTTAGGCTAAGAAAAATATACTGAGATTCAAGCCAGAGTAAATTTTACTTGAAAGGGTATGGCTACGCCGTTTTCTTATGTCAACTTTTCTACACTTGCACAGGAATTGTTTACCGGGACTTGAAGCCTGAGAATATTTTGATCCATCAGGATGGTCATGTTGTCTTAACTGACTTCGACCTGTCTTATATGGGATTGTGTAAACCACAGGTATGTATGGAATTTCATGACACGGCAGGCATCCCTATCTTTACTTTACGGTGCCCCTTTTTTGAGATGCCACATAGGAATTTCATGACAGTGCATCCTTCCTTTTACTAAAATATCAAACTATGTTCTTTTCATTCAAAGGAAAATGTCCTATTTCTGAAAGCTGTAGATGAAGGCATCATCCTCAATTTTATTTAACTCTTAGAACTGGTGGTTTAGATGTTTTTACTGTGTTTTCACATGTTCTTTTACATAATGCTCCACTTATCTTTGCAACTTCCTGAAATTCTAAGCACCTAACTATTTGTAACAGTTACCCTGTTTCATTTCCTTCAGCCAATGGAATGTCATGTTATATAGTCAGCACAACGATTTGACTTTTAGAGTTCTTGGCAGACAAGTGCTTATCCTGTGTTTTCAATTTGTAGGTTATAAAACATCCTCCACCAAACAATAGAAGAAGATCCAAGAGTCAGCCTCCTCCGATGTTTGTTGCAGAACCTATAGCACATTCAAATTCATTTGTGGGAACTGAAGAATACATTGCTCCTGTAAGGATCATTCATGTTTATGTGAATGCCCGCCTCATTTTCACTTGAAAATTCTGATTAGCCCTGTTTAGTGAGAAGTTTCTATTTCTTTTGTGTTCCATTTTTCTTGTAAAACTCTTGATACGTATTTATTTTTCTTCAGGAAATTATCACAGGTACAGGCCATAGTAGTGCTATTGATTGGTGGGCTCTTGGTAAGCACAACTCAAAATCTTTCTCATAGTTTGTTGTGTTGCTCCTTTTACGTGCCCTTTCGATGTTTCAACAAGTCCAAATTTTTTCCTGCGGAAAAGTCATTTCTTTCTCAAAATATATTGTATAATTTCCCTGTCTCTTGTTCTTATTTTGTACTAAGGTAAAAAAATGCTTCATTATTTTCCCTTTGCTTTATTTTTTTGGGTATTTTCGGTACCCCAGAACCATCAGCTTAGACACTACTTCATGTTTGAAAATCATTGATAATACCAGTGAACACTCTGCTTATTCAATTTTTTCCATGCCAGATTGTGTACATAAGTTTACTTATCGGGGGAAGATCAATATTGCTAACTGACACTTACAACTCACTACTTAGTTTACTTGGACAATACATAGCCTCAACAGCTCACGAATCGCTCTTTCTTATGATCTGACATTCAAATTCTGATTTTCAGGGATTTTGTTGTATGAGATGCTGTATGGTCGCACTCCTTTTAGGGGGAAGAACAGGCAGAAGACATTTGCCAACATTTTGCACAAAGATCTTACATTTCCGAGTAGCATACCGGTAAGATGTCTAAGTCTTGAGTTTGCTGTACCATAATTGTTGGAAATAATCCATTTGCTCGTGGTGAAAGTCCATAAAAGCTGTTGATTTTGCTTGTAATTGATTGGAAAGCATTGTACTATATTAGAAGCCACTAAATTATCTTGACTCATTATCCTTGGGTGTAGTAATCTTTAAGTTTTACTTGATGATGCAGGTGAGCCTTGGTGCAAGGCAGTTGGTCTACGGATTGTTGAACCGAGACCCTGCTAGCCGTTTAGGGTCGAGTACTGGTGCCAATGAGATTAAACAACATCCCTTCTTCCGTGGACTCAATTGGCCTTTGATACGCTGCATGGTACGTGGAATTTTCAGTACTTTCCAACGCTGTACTTGCATTAGCGTTAGCCTGAGACTCCTTTCTGCTTGGTCTGTTTGCAGAGTCCACCAGCGCTGGAAGTTCCTCTCCAGTTGATCGGTAATGAACCGACAGCCAAAGGTGTTTCGTGGGAAGATGACGGGGTGTTGACATCAGCTGCAGACATGGAAATTTTTTGAGAAACGGTCAATCTCTTTGTAGGTGCTCTGCTCGTGCTCCTATTCTTGTGTTTGAAGCCAAACCCCACTAGTATTAATGGTTATATATGTGGAAAGTGGATTTAATGTGCTATCTTCGTCTACCAAAAAATGCTTTGATATTAACGCTTCTCTTGTAAAATGGCCGCGGGATCTGTTTTGCTGTTGCACACCTCTCGATTAGGTAAAGACAAATGTTGGATCCCGTTGCAGGTGGGCATTCTGTTGGTTTGGTCACAAAGCAAGCAGACCGAAGCTGAACGCACCTACGCGTGCCAACCGAGTCTGAATCAAACTTAATTTCAATTCTGTCTGTGTAATACGAACTAAAAGAAAGTCTATTCAACTCCGGGTTGACCAAGCACTAGAGCGCCTCTTCACATCAAATACACTCTCAGTCTCAAATATCGACCCTCCGTAACCAACCCATCCACAATTAACTCTCTCTAGCCATCAAGTGGATCTCTTCATTCCCTTTCCTCTCCCAGAAACACCATTTCACATTTTCCATTTTCCATTTTCGAGCTTATAGAATATCAAGGTCTCCCAATCGGACTCTAAAAATCAATACACATTTTCCAACGACCAGAATAGCCTTGCTTTTTTGCTGCTCCAATATGAAAATCCCCATTCCCAATTCTAAGCACCAGCCCGAAACCTGTACATTTGGGAGTCGTTTGGAAGTTGTGATTCTTCAAATTGATGTATTGAGTTAATTAGTGTATGATGTATTGAATCAATTGATGTATTAAGCAACTACCTTGTTTGAAGGTTTAGATTGTGTTTTTATTGTAAAGTAAAAAAAATTAATTTTGAGTGATTGTAAAGGATCTCTATTTTTTGTTGAGATTGATAATCTCTCAATATTGAGTGATTGTGTTGGGTCTAGTATTAACCCGTCTAATACGGGCCCAAGCCCACCACAAAGCGTCTCACCTTGTGCCCAAGCCCACTTTAGGGTCCAGTCCACCCGGGGGCGTACATCACCAGGAGGCGTCCAGTCTACAGGGGCGTCCATTCATCGGGAGGCGTCCATCAATGGGAGGCGTCCACCCATTGGATGCCTCTGACTCCTATATTAGGAGGCCAAGCCTTCCAAGCAAAGAGACTTCTCTCTCTTCCCACATTTTACCACTTATGGTTCTCTCTCTAAACCCTATATCTCTCTCTACATTCCCCTATACGCTATCATATAACCTATTCTAACTTGAGTATCGGAGTGTAGATCACGGGGGCCGCCCCCGACTCTCCACATGATTCCTCCACTCCCGAGGAAATCACACGAGGGAGTGCAGATCAAGGCTCTACACTAATCACCTGACACTAATCCGGGTCAAACATTTTAGCGCCCATCGTGGGGCCTGATTCGGTATTCTTCTCGTTTGATTTTTGAAGAGGGGAAGAGATCGCCTCTTCCGCGACCAACTCAGAGCAACACCAATGGTTGCAAAGTCCAAGCTCCGACAACCTCACAAAATCACAGATCTAGGAATATCTTCCCGACAGAAAAGAGAAAAGAGGCATTCTCTCCATTCTCATTCGCATCTCAGATCTAGATGGAGAAAAGAAGAAATCGATTTTCCACCGTCACCACCAAATACTCATCTTTCGTTGATCCGGCGACGGAACCGTTGTCGCAAGCATCTACTCTTTCCTCGAACCCCAAGCGGTTATCCGCGCTAGTGAGTTGAGCAGCATCAAAAGAAAATATATATATTTATATCCAGATTTCGATCGCCGGCCAAAATTTTGACGACCGGAGCTCCGAAGGAATGAAAGGAAGAAGAGCCTACAGTAATCAACGTCATCTTCTTTTCTCCAATCTCCCACAAAGAGCAGTGTTCTCTGCTACCATAGTGGCCTCGAGAATCGAGAAAGCAAAAAAGGACTGATGGAGTTTCTCTCTCTGTCAGACTGAAAAGACTGACCAGAAATGTCCAAGAAGCCAAATGACAAAAGTGGAAGGCTCACTAACGTGCTAACCTAATTCTCCCTTCTGAAGTAGGCTTTCAGCACCTTAGCCCGCTAACAGGCCCAATGCGGCTCCTAGCCCGCTTCCTATCAGCATAGAAGACTTGGGCCGCCTCCCATCAAAACCCGCGAGGTCCGTTTTCCACTTCTAGCTCAACTCCTACCTACAGTCAGACACGCGCGTGGAGCGGTTCTGAGGTCCACTAACACTCCTTGCAGCCAACATTCGAACCAACATCCAGCCTTCACAATCAAGACGCATCCCAGTATGCTATAAGGCCGCCTTGATTTTCAGAATGCAATGGCAAAACTTAAATTTTTCTTGAAGCTTCTCCAACGACAGGTAAATCACGTTCTGCCTTCGACCTCCCCGCATCCAACGCGGCCTACTTCCATAGCGAGTTGTCTCCTTTAACGCGAGCCACCACCTCCATCGACTCACTCAACGCGCCTAGCCGGCCACACAGCAACACAAGCCCAACAAGGACCCGACCCGCTACGCCTCTAATTCATCCTCATAAACCGGGCCCACCCCGCGTCACATGGGCTACCACCATTCCGAGCCCGCCAACAATGACCCACCAACGACAGGTAAATCACGTTCTGCCTTCGACCTCCCCGCATCCAACGCGGCCCACTTCCATAGCGGGTTGTCTCCTTTAACGCGAGCCACCACCTCCATCGACTCACTCAACGCGTCTAGCCGGCCACACAGCAACACAAGCCCAACAAGGACCCGACCCGCTACGCCTCTAATTCATCCTCATAAACCGGGCCCACCCCGCGTCACATGGGCTACCACCATTCCGAGCCCGCCAACAATGACCCACCTCCGACGGCCCAACAACATCCAGCACGCCTCAGCGTAGTGAAGACCTGCGCGACCCTGTACAACTGCCCATCCCATGAAGAGTGTATTTCAAAAAGAATAGAGGAACGTGTCCGACAAGGTTCGAACCCGCATCCCAACCTTTTGGAAAGGTTAAATCGCATACCACTGCACTGCAAGACGCTTTGTGAATCAAAACGCAACTCCCAGTATTACTAGTCACCCAATCATTCATTCCAAATTCACAAAACACAATGCATGGCATGAGAATTAAACATTTGCACTATCCTAATACACCTCTCAGTCATCATCATAGGATCCCACGTAAGGCCCAAGTATAAACCTTAAATGGGTGCAATATAGGGCAAATATGTTTAAATATCAATCCGAGCCGGCCCATGTACCCCTACTTCGATTGTTTGAAACATTATCTAGCGGAACATTGATTGTGAAAATCTCTACAATCTACAATTAAGAAGCAAGACTTGAAAAGTAAAAGGGTTGAAACTCTTGGTGAGAAGCTTCACTCGGGAGTTGTTTCCTCCTAACTTACTACCATGAATCGCGGGATCGAATGAATTAGTGTGCGACAAGGCGATTGTGAACCGCTAGGAGGAGCAACAATGGTTAGAAACCACACTGTCAATTGCTAGGCCAAGGAATGCATTATAGGCTACAATTGTAGCCCTTTTGGCCCAAGCAATTGAGGGTTGACTTACCTTCTCCCTCAAATCGGGGTTTGGACGGCTTAATCAAAATCAACCCAGGTGTTCAATTTGAGTTTAGAGGTTTGCCCTACATTAACCTAGATAGGAGGCACTGAATGCCCAAGAAAACCCATCTCAATTTGAGCCTCTTAAGATAACACTACAAGAAAACTGGTCTCTGGTCACGGGATTTTATTCACTGGTTTCCCGTACTAAGAAGTACACTAATAGTCGCGGGAAAAATTCCCGTAATTGGTGGTATGATTATAATCACGGGAATCAATTCATATTTTTTTAGTATTCATTTCCCATGATTAATACTTAGTCATGGTTAATTACCGTGAACAATGTGAAAATTTATCTTTAACATAATTATTCAAAATTATAGGAGGGAGAATTGTTTGGCTCCAGATTTTACTTTGGTTGAAAAAATTGTTCAGAATTATAGGAGGGAGAATTATCTGCAATTTTGAAATTTAACTTTTGTTGAAAACATTTGTTTTGACTCCAAAATGGTTAATAACCATGAACAATATGAAAATTTATTTTTAACAATAATTATTCAAAATTATAGGAGGGAGAATTGTTTGGCTCCAAATTTTACTTTGGTTGAAAAAAATTGTTCAGAATTATAGGAGGGAGAATTATCTGGCTCGAAAATTGAAATTTTACTTTGATTGAAAACATTTGTTTTGGCTCCAAAATTTCATTTTCTACCCAAAACTTTTCAGCATAGAAAATAATATATACCCGCCTCTTTTGAAATTTTCGCAAACCCCCTTCATCCCCATGTAGCACAAAATAATGAAAGGCGAATGCCCAACTACTTACTTACTTCGCTCTTCGCCTCTTCCCATACCCTCTTTCTCCAGCCTAGTTATTCTGCTAACTTGAAAATTCGTTAGTATATACTAACTAATATCCAAAATGTATGAACTAATATCCAAATCTGCTAAGTATCTAGATAGCACATACTAGTATTCAAAACATGACAAACTAGTATCTCGATAGCAGATACCAACTAATATCCACAATCAACCAACTAGTATTTAGATACTCTTATGTGTTATTTAGATACTCTTATGTGTTATCTGGATACTAATTATGTGTTGTATGGATACTATTCTGTGTTGTCTAGATATTAGTTTTTGAATTTGGGATAATAGTTGATTCATGGTGGATATCAGTTAGCAAACTTTGAATACTAGTATGTGCTCTCTAGATACTTTAGTACTTGAATACTAATTCATGTATTTTGGATATCAGTTAGTATCTATTAACGAATCTTCAAGTTAGCAGATTAACTTTTCCACTCTTTCTCTCCCCTGCGTTCTTCTCCAGAGAAAGGAGTTGGGACAGCCTACCACCACCACCCACTCCACCGGCTGCATCCCCAGTCCCCACTCATTCCTCCTCCTTCCTCCTTCAGTCCATCTCCAAAACCCCAACTCCACTTATGAAACCCCTCTCTTCTTCACATTCTCCTTGCATTTCCTGAACTCGCCACCTCTGCTTCACTTCTTTTTCACCTTGCCTCCAAATAGACGCAGACAGCAGAGAGTAGTTCAACGCTCTCGTTGAACTTTTATCCTCTTCCTGACGTTTGGGTTGGGTAGCACCAATTTCATGCATCGATTGTGAAACTAGTATTGAAATTTCATATTTTTGGTGTTTTAGGGTTTGTGAGAAATAGTACGCGATTTGAGGAAGAAAACTAAAAGGGAGACAGCGATTTAACGTGGTATCCCCGATGTGTCGGGACTAGTCCATGGGAGAGCTGGAAACTCTCCGGCTACTGCTTATTATTCCTTATTGATGATGATCGGCAGAAGCCGTTTGCAATATATATAGGAATCCCATTGACTAGCTACTAGGGTTCCTGTAGGTGCATTTTCTTTCCTAGCTACGGAAGTCAAACCTGAGAAGGAAACATGCACTGTAGGTCCAACCCGAGATGGGATGGACGTGGGCCGAGTGGAATCTTCACCATGCTGGGCCGGCCTGTCCAACACTCCCCCGCAAGCTGGAGCGTGAAGGTTACGAACGTGCAGCTTGGAGAGCAAAAAACGGAAACGATAAGCAGCCAAGCCTTTGGTGAAGATATCAGCGAGCTGTAGATGTGAGCTGATCTTGAGGGGCAAGACATCCCCAGACTGAACGCGTTCTCGAACGAAGTAGCAATCCATCTGAACATGTTTGGTGCACTCGTGAAAAACCTGGTTGGCGGCGATGTGAAGAGCTGCCTGATTATCACAATAGAGCGGGGTCGAACTATGTTGAGGAGCTCCTAGTTCAGCCAGAAGCCACCGGAGCCAAATAATCTCACTTACCGTGCTGGCCATAGCACGATATTTGGCTTCTGCAGACGATCGGGCAACCACCTTTTGTTTCTTGGTGCGCTAGGAGATGGGTGCAGAACCAAGGCAGACAAAATAACCAGTGGTAGAGCGACGAGTGTGCTCGCATCCCCCCCAGTTTGCATCGCAGTAAGCAGTGAGAGTCAAATCATTGGTAGTGGGAAAAGCAATACCTTATCCTGGCGACGTCTTGAGGTAGCGTAAAACGCGAATAGCCGCATCCATGTGAGACTGACTGGGTGCGTTGACAAACTGACTCAAGATGTTGATAGCATAGGTGATGTCGGGGCGAGTCACAGTAAGGTAGAGTAAACGGCCGACGAGACGACGGTAAGGTGCATGGTCAGCTAGCAGGTCATCATCACAAGGTGGACAAGTCAAGTGATGATTTTGTTCAACGGGAAAAGCGCTCGGGCGAGCTCCTTCTACCCCCGCATCCTCCAAAATGTCAAGGGTGTATTTTCGCTGACAGAGAACCACACCATCTCGAGTACGAGCAAACTCCATGACCAAAAAATATCTCAAATCGCCTAAGTCCTTAATGCTGAACTTAGCATCCAAGAAACGCTTGACCTTGGTAATAAAGGGTAAATCATTCCTGGTCAAGATGATATCATCAACATAAATGAGAGCTACCAGGAAGGTGCTCCCCCGCCGAAAAATAAACAGGGAATGATCAGCAGGTGAGGATAGAAACCCGAGGGAACAAAATGCAGCAGTGAATTTGTGATACCAGTTACGTGATGCTTGTCGCAGTCCATAGATAGACTTGTGAAGACGACAAACTCTGGTGTCACCAGGAGCAGCAAATCTTGGCGGGACCTTCATGTAAACTTCCTCCTCAAGGTCACCATGAAGGAAAGCGTTATTAACATCAACTTGATGGAGATACCACCCACGGCTGACTGCGACGGCAAGAAGACAACGGACAGTGACCAGTTTTGCTACCGGAGCGAACGTATCATGAAAATCGATCTCCTCAACCTGTGTGTATCCTTTGGCCACTAGTCGTGCCTTATACCGCTCAATAGTGCCGTCGGGACGGTATTTAATTTTGAACACCCATTTTGCCGCAATGGTGTGCTTGCCAGGAGGGAGCTCCACGAGGCTCCATGTGCCATTGGCATATAAGGCATTAATTTCCTTCTGCATGGCCTCTCGCCAGCGCACCCTGTCACTTCGTCGTGGGACGGGCTGAGAGGGAGAGGACGCATGCTGGGCCGGGGCAATCGAGGAGGGCCCAGGCGAGCTCGACAGTGATGGGTCAGGTGAGGCCGAAATGGGGGACCCGGCTGGCGGATCTGTGGCAGCAGGGCCAGCGGGCGAGCGAGGGGAGTTGGGCTCGAGATCCACCGAGTCACGGGCCGGACTAGTCGGGCCAAGATCCTCGAACAAGTCTTCGTCGGCAATGTCATCAGCGGACGACGATAAGTGTGGTCTAGGTATCCAGTGGAGTTCTCCGGACGCAGCAGGCTGGAAAGGAAACCGATTTTCATGAAACTGAACATCCCGTGATGTCAAGATCTTCCGAGTGCTAAGCTCATAACATCGATAGCCCTTCTGAATGGAGGCATAACCAATGAACACACAAGCCCGTCCTCTTTCTGCGAATTTATCGAGGGAAGCATGCGTGTCTTTTGCATAAACAAGACACCCAAAAACACGAAGATGAGAGTATGGAGCAGGTTTACCAAATAAGATCTCAAAAGGGGTGCGATCAGTGGCCGCTGTGGGTAGGCGATTTATCAAGTATGCCGCCGTGAGAATGCATTCTCTCAAAAAATGGAGAGGTAGTGATGCTTGGAAACGCAATGCTCGTGCAGTGTCCAAAAGGTGACGATGCTTCCATTCGACTACACCGTTCTGTTGCGGAGTATTGATGCATGAAGTCTGCAATATGATGCCTTCATGCTCATAAAACCTCTGCAAAGAAAGTGTATTAAATTCATGGCCATTATCTGCCTGAATTTTCTAGACTCGCTTCCCAAACTGCATGCGAACTAATTGGGTGAACATTATCAAATAACGCCCAACCTCAGATTTAAAACGAAGCAGATAGACCCATACTCCACGACTGTAATCTTCAACAATAGTAAGAAAATAGTGTGCACCACTAAGAGACGCGGTGTGATAACCGCCCCAAATGTCAACATGAAGCATCTCAAAACACTGTTTGGTCCGAATTGTGCTCAGAAAGAAGGGTTGCCGAGTTTGTTTGGCCCTAGTACAAGAATCATAAGCTTTATTTGAAACTGAAGAAATAGCCAAAACATCCTGGAGTTGCTGAAGTTTGGATGCGGAAGGATACCCCAGCCGGGCGTGCCACAACGTGTCAGGAATTTTGTCTTGATGCGTCGCTGCACACGATCGAACACATCCAACTCCAAACAACTTCAGATAGTAAAGGCCATCACGTAACTCACCCTTCCCAATCAATTTCCTGGAGAGCAAGTCCTGAATGACGTAAAAATTATCCAGAAATATTAACGCCACACTATTCTCTTTAGCAAGTCGACTTACGGAAATCAAATTACAGCGAAATTCCGGCACGTGCAGAACACGGTTTAACTCAAGCCCTGGATGCAACTCAACAGAACCCACGTGCGCTACGGGAATGCTAGCGCCATTGGGTATTCTAACTGGCTGACCATTCTCATGCTTTACTTTGTTGATTAATAACGAATCATCCATAATGATATGCTCATTACAACCAGAGTCTAGCAACCATTCAGTGCTCATAGATATCATACCTGCGTGATGAGCTGCTGGATTAGTCGCTCCTATGCTCGAGTTTCCGAAAAACTCCTTGAGTTGCTCGAGTTGGCTCCACGTGAAACCAGCGACCGGGCTTTTATCCTCCTTCTCCGGTTCAACTTGAGCTGCTCGTGGCTCTCTATCACGTCCCCGAGAACAGCCCTCACCCGTGGAAGGGCGACGAGGTCGCTGCTGCTGCTCACCTTCCTTGTCGCGTGTGTCACGTGGTGGATATCCATTAAACTGATAACAAACATCTCTGGTATGACCCAATTTTTGGGAATAGCTGCAACGCGGCTTTTCTTTGCCGCCACGCTGGTTGCCACGGTCTGTCTCACTACGTGCAGCGAAGGCAGTAGCATCCGGTGTCGTCTTGCGGCTTTGGGAGATCAACCGCTGCTGTTCCTCGTTCGCTGCGATGTTGAAAGCTTCGGCCAGCGTAGGCGTGGGCCGCATGGCGAGAACCTGTGAGAAAGCCTCGTCTAACCCCATTAGAAAATCAAATAGGCGGCTGTTCTCTTGCTGTTCACGAACCCGCCTCGAGACATCACATGTACAGTGACCACATACACAGCTGGGAATAGGGGAGATTGCTGCGGATTCTTCCCAGAAGGATCGCAGCTTTGTGTAGAATCTCGAAATCGTGTTCTTCTCCTGCTGGAGAAGGCTTATCATTCGTCGAAGTTCATAGGATCTCGACGCGTTGCCGTGCTCAAACTGGGATCGCAAATCGTCCCAGATGCCTTTGGAAGTCTCTGCAAACCGAACGCTGCTACGAAGCTCCTTATTCATGGCTGTTTTCAGCCATCCCTTTATCATAACGTCGCAACGGATCCAGGCACTACGTTGTTCACCTGCCGCCGGTTTGGCAAGGGTGCCGTCCACAAAAGCAAACTTATTTTTCGCGATGAGTGCGTCCTTCATATCAAGGACCCACTCCCCATAGTTGGTAGCCGTGAGGATGTCGCCGACCAGCATCTGGCCTGGCCCATCCGAATTGGGTAGATGATACACCGGCGGGAGGCTGGAGGTCTCGTCTCCTTGCTTGACGTCCCCAGTGCTCGCTTCGCCGTCTTTGACCATCATGACAGTACTTTGACAGGATCAATGCTCTGATACCATGAGAAATAGTACGCGATCTGCGGAAGAAAACTAAAAGGGAGACAGCGATTTAACATGGTATCCCCGATGTGTCGGAACTAGTCCACGGGAGAGCTGGAAACTCTCCGGCTACTGCTTATTATTCCTTATTGATGATGATTGGCAGAAGCCGTTTACAATATATATAGGAATCCCATTGACTAGCTACTAGGGTTCCTGTAGGTGCATTTTTTTTCCTAGCTACGGAAGTCAAACCCGAGAAGGAAACATGCACAGTAGGTCCAACCCGAGATGGGATGGACATGGGCCGAGTGGAATCTTCACCATGCTGGGCCGGCCTGTCCAACAGTTTGAAACCGAACAAATAGGGGATTTTTCAGTTTTAATGGAATTCAACCTTCCTTCTCTCTTTACTTTATGCAGGCATATATCCAGAAAGAGAATGGTAGAAAGTTGAGCTGAAGCAAAGCGAGTTCATGCGGCCTAAGTTGGGGAAGATGGACATTGATTATCAGGTTTGGTTATCTCGGACTGCCATGTTTTTTTTTTTGTTCTGGTTGTACTTATTGATTCTTTTTACAGCTATCCTTTATACCTTTTCCAAGTTAAAAACATTAACAAATCACGACGACTTGTACCTTGAAGGGAAGAAATTCTATGTACAAGTTCTGCATTTCTCTGGTTTTCAGGCTCGTTCTGCTTCAACCTGAGTTCTCTATATATATGTGCTCTTTATTTCTCCAAGTTCATCATAGGCTTGAAAGTTTTAAGTTTTACTGTGTATAGTGTGCTTCATATATTAGTCTACTTCGTATAGGTGATACTGAAAGAGATGAAGCCAGGTACTCTTTCACAGGAACTAAAAGAGGATCTTCGTATGCCTGAAGGTGCCCTTCACCATGGCTTATTAATTCGCAGGTAAGATATTTTGGATATCTATAGTTATTCTAATCGTACCTGATCCTTGTTCGTAGTATGCAACATTAAACTAATACTCAATAGAAAGTTACTTAGTGGTCTTATTTATTTACCGGTAACTGATTTACTTAGTAGAGAAATGAGTATTAGGATTTTGTGTGATTGGGCCCTTAAGACATCATAGCAATAAGCAACAGTTAACTTAGCCATTTGCCATACACTTTTTATAAATGCTGAGTTTGGTGGCTGATGAAGGCTATTTATTTAATGAGGTTGAGTATTGTGTCAAGATTTCTTATACATGGAAATTTTTTATGTAAAAAAAATGCAGAACATGACATATTGGTGTAGATTCTGAAGACAACCAGATCGAGTTTCTTCTCCCTAGGGTCTAACATAAGGATGTCAACGAGCTTGTTGCTGCTGGCCCTGTTGGTGACGACGCTTCTACTCCAGCTTCTGCTACTACAACAAAGAATGACGATAAGGTTAAGGAGAAGGAGTCCTATTGGGTGGGTTCCCTTTTACATTCTCTAATCAGTGCTCTAGCATTTTCAAGTATGCAATATAGATGGTCTTGTATGATTATTAGAGAGAATTCATTCAATATTCAATCCTCTAAGGTGGATGGATATAGAATTATGAACTGTCAATGCATTTAACTTGAACTTGAACATGAATGCTTTTGCTTCTATGGAGCATTGAGGTTCATGTTAAAAATAGGGATTAATATACTTTTCATCTTTCTTTCAGGTTGGATAATGTGAATATGGTCTTTTCTAGGCTTATTGTTTTGGATTTGGTCTTCATATTATCTATGTAAACAGATCCCTAAGGTAAAGCTTACCACCTCTCTTTCTATGTCTTTCATTGTTGGAATCTGTTTACATACTTCCATAATGCAATATGCAGTTTTGTTTGAATCTTGGATTTGTGTGGGGATTCAAGTATTTTCTAGGTTAGGGCACATAAATTCCTTTTGGTTCAATGGGAATTCCAGAATTTCGTTTGCTATGGTGCCTTGAGGCTGTGATGATAAACTAATACTCTGCCTGGTCGAAGGTGCTTTATTTTTCTTGCCCTGTCTCAACTTGCTGACCTCTTTCAAGTATATCCTCTTTTTTGGTTTGACTGCTTCTATTTTCTTGGCCTTGTAGGTCTCTGGATCTAAGTTATGGCAGTAAGTTTGGGGGGTTTATGTACTGAACTTTTCTTTCCAGTGCCACCATTAAGGTTCATGGCAGGTATTCCACATTCCATCTTGCAGTCTTGTCTCCCACAACTAGTTATGAATATCTATGGGACCGAGCAAGGATGATAGAGCTACAGATGAGGCTTGGCTAACTGGGATGAAGTCAACATTTTATCCAACCAGTGGTGTGCCCAGTAATGTGAGGAGTTAAACAAAAGAGGCTTCACTAAAGTAATTCGTGGAATCTTCATAGCTTCCAACAGGATTTAGCAACTAATGACAAAGGAATGGAAGTGTTGCAGGGTATAACGTGAAGCCCTAGATGCCACCAAAATCTTAACTGGAGGTTCCGTTTTAGGAATACCCTTCTACATCTTACTAATGTGAACTTTTCTTCTCCTGTTCTGCCCTGTTTGCACTAGAGGTGCCTATTTTGGTTTGAGGGAGATTGGTCAGTCTTAGTTTTAGCTGGTGTGCTCCTGATAGTTACGTAGAGAACTCTTGTTTCTTTGCCTCTTCGTTCTTTTCCTAATTATGTTAATTAATTAAATGTATGACCATTATTCAAAATAAATAATATTAATTTTCTCTTACTTGGTGGAACCACACTTGAATACAACCAGTTTTCGTAATTAGTAATGACAAAAATTCATAAGTAATCTTGTATAGATATCACGGTATGTAATTACCCATAGTAAATATTGTTAGTGATTGGCATATAGTCACCATGAACCAGCCACTACAAATAGTAGTTACCGTGACTAGTGATTGATATATAGTCACAGGAACCAATTTGTCATAGTAAACACCATCTTAAAAGGGAAACATCCCGAGATGTGTATTCTTGGGCCGGTGCTCTAAAATTTAACATTAGTTACGGGGTTTCCCGTGATTAGTAGGTATAAATAATCATGGGAAACTACACCGTGACTAGTTATCTAGTCACGGTACTAGTCACGGCGTATAATTAGTCACGGAGCTTTATATCACGGTAATTTTCCCGTGGCTAAAGTCATTAATCACGGGAAACATGCTTTTAAATACGGGAAGTCCCATGATTAAAGAGGCTTTTTCCTGCCGTGTAAGGGGGTTTCCCTCTAAGCTAGGTTAGAATAGCACAATAGATTGTCAAGGACACACAATGCACAATCACCATGAAAAATACGTAAAATCTTAAATTACCACCCACACACAATCATTCAATCCACACAATCAACTACATGGTAGAAGTTAGGGTTCTACAACACACAAGTGAAAAGGAGACTACTCCATGTTAGAGAAAGGAAGAACACAAAGGAAAAAGGAAAAACCCATCATTGTGATGCCTCAATCCTTCCTTGTGCTTGTAGATATCCTCTCTTGAAGAGGAACTTCCCAAATCTTGATTTGGAGCAAACCCTAGCCTCTTCTCCCTCTTGGTTCGTGGCTTTCTCTCTAGGTTTTCAAGAAGAAGAAGGTTTCTCTCACTTTGGGCTCCCCCTTCTTCCTCCTTTCAGCTATTCTTTTATACACAGGCCGCGCCCAGTTCAGGGTCCTAGTTCACGACAATGAACTAATGGCAAGGATCGTGAAATCAGTCCAAAACGTGTCGCTTCACTGAACTGGTTCGCGGTCCATGGTTTAGTCCAAAACGTGTCGCTTCACTTAACTGGTTCGCGGTCCATGGCTTCAGTTCACGGTTGAACTGCCTCGGCGGTCCATGGTTTTCAGTAACCTCTGAAAACTCTCTGGAACCTCGTCAGTTCGCAGTTTGTGGCTCCATTTCAAGGTCCTGATGACCGTGAACTCTGCTTGGACTGTGAACTGCGGCTGCTACCTCCTCTTTGCCCAATACTCGCGCCTTTTCTTCCAACTTTCAACTTTGGGCTCCCCCTACTTCCTACTTTCAACTCTCCTTTTATACACAGGTTGCACCCAGTTTCAACTACTACCATGGCATGTGAATCGAAGTGATTGCTATGGGCAAGGTGACCGCGAACCGCTAGAAACGGCAACAATGGTCGTAGACCACACTCTCGATTGCCAAACCAAGGGAAACATTATCGGCTACTCAAGTAGCCCTCTTGGTTAAGGCAATCGATGGTTGACTTACTCACTCAACCCAATGGTTGGTCGCTTAATTGCGCTTAACCAAATTGCTTAATTCAACATAGAGGTTTGCCCTACATTAACCTAGATTGGTGACTTAAAAATCCCAAGGAATCCCAACTCAATTGAGCCTCCCTTGAAAGGGGTGTTTTCCCTCTAATCTAGGTTAGAATGGCCAATTGGATTGCTAAGCACAAACATGCACAATCAACATGAAAAATACATCAATCATTGAATTAAACAACACCCATAAACAATCATTCAATCCACACAACAACTACATGGTAAATAGTTAGGGTTTCACAACACCCAAGTGAAAAAGGAAACTACTCCATGCTAGAAAGGGGAAGAACACAAGAGGAAGAGATAGAAACCATCATGGTGATGCCTCCAATCTCCTTTGAGCTTGTGTTTATCTTCTCTTGGGGAGAATCTTCCCAATTCACCACTTGGAGCAAACCCTAGCCTTCCTTCTTCCTTGGTTCGTTTGTTCTCTCTCTAAAATCTGAAGAAGGACCGGGCTCAGTTCACGGCCTCAGTTCACAGCCGTGAACTCTTGAAAGCGTCCGTGAACTCAAGGTTGACGTCGAAATGCACCGCTTCGCTTGCTTAGGTTCACGGGCAATAGCTCCAGTTCACGATCTTAGTGACCGTGAACTCGCCTGGCGTCAGTAACTTCAGGAAGTGCCCTGGACGCCTTGATGTTCACGTCCCATGCCTCGTCTTCACGGTCTTAGAAAAACATAAACTCCTAAGGGAAACCGTGAAATGCCGGCTTTTCAACTCTTCTTTTGGTTTTCGCTCCTTTTTGCCCAACTTTCTATTTCAGGGCTGGTTTCACCTGGTAGATCCCGAAACTTGCTAAAAGAAAACAAACTTAGCCTAAAACCACCCTTTTAGGAGCACAATTGCCACAAACACCTAAGGAAAACGGGGGTAAAATGCGTACAATTAGGCCCGAGTCACTCCCCCACACTTAGATGTTTGCTTGTCCCCAAGCAAACCATTTCACACAAGTTAATATTTCACCCTGCAAAAATACTTTGGGGACAACTCAAAGGGCACAAAGTGGGAATTCTCAATGGCTATTGGCAATTAATACATGGACCGTTGCAAGAAATACTGACATCCACCACAAACGAAATTCGAGGCCACCAAAAGTGGGCAAACGAAAAGTTCTCACCTTGTTCATGGATCAATGCAAGTCTCAACAAGACCACTTATCAACCACAACTAACCATACATAGAATTCAAGTCCGAGGATCAAATGGAAAGGCAACAAAGGTCCTCTCCGGGGTATGATATGGCCTGCAAAACAAGAATGAATCACTCACTCTCAAGACTAGTGGGGTCGGAACCTTTTTGGTGCAAAAGATGTGCACAATCATCAACACTCGGCCCTATCGTCTCAAGACCACGACGGTAACCTCTAAACGCTAGAGCTCACTGGATGGTTATCACCACTAGCTTATCCGGAGGTCTTAGACATGGGTTCAAGTGACTCGCAATTGTCTTGGACATGGGGAAAAGGCTTTTTGGGTGGTGGCAAACACGACATGAGGTTCTACATCTTCAACCTAAACCCGAAGGTTCTAGGTTTCAACTAAGACCCTTCTCTTCAACCGAAGGCCACTCTCCCTTCCAAACTATCATCCATCGTGAACTACATTTAAGCACTCTTCCTCGGTCTACTATTGCTATCACATTATGGTTTGGTAGTGAAGGAGTTCTAAACAATATGGGGGGTTCAATGGCTTGAGTGCCAAGAAACCCCTCCTAGAGCATACACTTTGGTTTTTTTGTGGCACTCTCTACTTTATTTAACCCGTTTTATTACCTCTTTTTCGATTCTTTTTTTCTTTTTCACTTTCTCTTTTCTTTTTTCGTTTCTTTTTTAGGGGGGTACTAGAGAGTAAAAACACTTTCCACCTATACATTTAACGACCAATGATGTCTTTTCAAGAACTCACTCCAACACCACACTTCATTTTCCATTCCTAGCAAGAACCGAACACAAACCTCCTATGTAGAACCTCTATGGAATCTCAAAAGTGAGAGCTCCGGGACACAAGAACGAATCATGTTTAGACACGAATAAAGGATTGGGGGTCGTTCTATCAACACCATTAATCTCACAAGCACGAAGCTCCTAACTTAAGAACGACCCTCGAAGTCACAAGGCTCAAAGGGGTTGACTAGTGGATAACACATGTCGGGACGATCAACATTTGGGCGTGGACTAATCCTATGCCTCGATCATACTCACTAGTGACAACTATGATGTTACTCGCCATGGTAAGAGGGATCTAAGCACACAAGAAGAAATGATCGACTCAAAGCTCACATGGCTACCTAGTGACCCAACCATCTATTCCAATTCACAAAAAACATTGCATGGCAAATTGTAGTCAACGAGTAATCGAGTCAAGACATCCATTCATTTATGCACACATTAGAACTAAACTTTTGCACTATCCTAATGGATCTCTCAGTCATCATCATAGGATATACTCAATCACATGCAAGAAATCAAGATCAATGCCAATAAACACGAGATTTTCCCACAAACCGGCCACTTTGATCATGTAAACATTGCTTGGAGCCCTCAAATTTTTCAAATTTGGGCACACATCAAGGCTCCAAGCATAAATCACACTCACACAAGCATAATAGCAAACTACCCCCCCTCCCCCACACACACATACCTAAGCTCAACATTGCCCTCAATGGCGTAAGATAGGGGTAGAAAGAAGTTACCACTTGGGTTTGGTGAGTGAAAGTTGGAATTGTTTCCGGGGTAGGAGATTTGGAGCTTCAAGGAGAGACAAAAACACACATACAAACACAATACGAATCACTCGAGGCGAGTTTATTACAAACACAACACGATAATAGTAGTAGCAGGACAAACTTGTTAACCTCCATTGGGTTGCCTCCCAACAAGCGCTTCTTTAAAGTCTTAAGCTAGACGGGGACTCCGGGTCAGGCATCTTGCAGGAACACCACCTCTTTTTGGGGCATTACCGCTCCTCCAAGTTAAAGTTTTAGGCGGTGTCCATTCACTTTGAAAGTTCCTTCCTCCGGGTGGGAGACTTCAACCACCCCGTATGGGAACACTTGTGTTACCACATACGGGCCTGACCATTCGATCTTAGCTTCCCTAGGAATAACCGGCATTGGTCTCCCGGTTAGAAATCCTTCCCTCCTTTCAATCTAGCATCATGTAGACGCTTCGTCTTTACCTTGTAAATCTTGGTGTTTTCATAGTCTTGGAGACGCCATTCCTCGAGTTCAAGTACCTACAACTTTCTTTCATTTCCACACAAACTAGGATCCATATTCAAAAGCTTTGTGGCCTAGAAAGCCTTATGCTCTAGCTCTACGGGCAAGTGGCACGCTTTGCCATACACCAAATGGTAAGGTGAGACGCCTATTGGGGTTTCGTAGGCTGCGCGGTACGCCCATAGAGAATCATTGAGTTTTGCGGACCAATCCTTGTAGGATT